ATGGAGTTGTTGCATTTGTGAGGAATTTGCGATTTGGTTAATGAGTCTTATGCAAAAGTTCGCGAGAAACACGATGGTGCCACTGGTTTTTTTCTGAAATCAACTCCCAAGCTCAAAAAAAGCTCTCAAGTCTAGTCCAAAATGGAGGGGATATCCGACGCTACCCTGAGAGTCCACCTCTACATCAAGACGAACTCTCCATGCAAAGATAGGGAGCAAATACATTAGCAGGGTTGCCATGTTTTCAGTTTTGGAGTCCCCAAATAAAGTGGCAGCCCTGTCAATGTATTTGCTCCCTATCTTTGCATGGAGAGTTTGTCTTGATGTAGAGGTGGACTCTCAGGATAGCGTGGGATATATTTTGGCCTCAACTCGAGAGCTTTTTTTGAGCTTGGGAGTTGATTTTAGAGAAAACCAGTGGCACTATTGTGTTTCTCGCAAACTTTTACATAAGAATCAACAGTTAAATCGCACATTCCTCAAACATGCAACATCTCCATTGCATATCCTTTTATTTCAATGAACTTATACGGGGAAAAAAAACTTCGTGCATGGGACCCGAAGTTTAGGTCATATTGATCTCTGAAGTTTTCTGATCACGCATCCGAAAACTTCAGGTCGAGCTGCCGAAGTTCGGATCAGACATCGAGGCACTTCGGTATGTGCCGGAGTACTTCAGATGTGCGACCCGAACCCTTCGGTATATATCGAAGTGTTTCAGATGTCTGACCCAAACTTGGACAGGTGGACCTCAAGTTTTTGGATACGTGATCCGAAAACTTCAGAGATTCATATGACCTCAACTTCGGGTCCCACGCACGAAGCTTTTTCTCCGTGTACATTATTGGAATACGTTGCAACTGTGTTGCACTTTTGCTAGTTGCAATAAACTGTGACTTTCTGTTATATTGCTGATGCTTATCTTTATATTTCAAGGAGCCAACATCTCTCGTTAGACCTTGATTTAGAGTTGTTGTTTTTTCTCTGAAACTTGCTCCTTGGGAAAGAGAGAATTCGTAGAATAATGTCCTTTATCGTTCGATGCAAACAAAATCAAAAGGATATAATATTACATGAATTATGCGGAAGACAGTAACATTGATACTGTCTTAAGATACTGATGAATTACTTAAGTTCTTCGATAAAATCACTTTTCCTTCCTCGTGAGTGTTTTGAGGATGATTGGAAAAGTGAAGGAGATGATTTAGGCTTATAGTAGTTGTCAATTTCTACAAATAAGATTTTTAAAAATGCCTTATTTGTAAAGTGCCTAAATTTTTGTCTTGTTGACTGTACAATTAATAACTATCTTTTTTTCATTCTGTTGCAGGTATGGGCATTTCATTGTAAAATTATGACGCATGATGTAAGTCATTCACCCTACTTTTCATGACATTATTTTCATTTTCATGAGCTCCATCAATTCATCGGGAATAAAATTAAGATCATTTAAGGACTGAAATGAATTTATTATCGCATTCGACCAAGATAGGTTCATAAGAAATTTTTTCAATATTTATATGTATTTATTTTTCTTCGAACTGATGAATGACTCGATCGTGTAATTTAAAGTACAGAGGAAAAAGTTCGATATCTCACGTAGTCCAATTCAGACACCCTACAGGACAGAAACAGCACGAATTTTCATCTCTGCATTTTTGTCGGGAGCAACAAGGGTTCATTTCCGTAGTAGTGGTGCCGTTACATTGGAACATGCTCAGATTTTCATTACGATTCGCTACAATCTCTGCATGCTCACAGCAAACAGGTTTCAAAGTCCTTGAATCCGGAATTAGCATACTCAAAATCACACCCAGAATCATGGTCAATTTTCTCAGGGTCATTTTGAACGAAATCTGAAAAGATATAACACAAATCTTGAGTTTTAATGTTTTTTCACTCTATCCACCTGCTTCTTTTTAGTCCCTTATAAGTGCGGGGGAGGGATGGGTGCGTGCCAAATTATTACGGGAGGTAATCAGGGATGAAGTACATTGGTTCCCAACAGTTTTAGATGGTTGACATTTTGAGCTAAATGTTGTTAGTCCAAAGTTATTGTATTAAGAACAGTTTTGATTTAAAAGTTTCTTTTCGTTTTTTCATATTTTATCTAAGATGTTATTAACTGCGAAACTTGATCTTCGATTGAAGAGCGTCAGCCACAACTGTGAAACAAGCACTTTGGCCCCTTGATACGCAAAACTTTGGAATCCTCGATCACAGATATCGCTGATTCATATAACTTATGAGCTGGACATGGGAATTTTTGATGTGCTTTACGTATTTGTGCACAAAAAAAATTTATTGCGGATTTCTTAATTAAATTGTTAAAAAATATGTCCGACATGTTTCAAATGTACATTTTACAATAATGGAAAGCTACTTTAACCACGAGGGTGGTTAAAAGTGCATTTAATAACCGTAAAATCTACATTCGAAACATGTCGGACACTTTTTCAAACTACAAAATTTTTTAATCATCAATATTAGTTTTTTCCGTGTGATGAGGGAGTATGTGATTTTCTTACACTGCCTGGTCGTCCGAGACTATCTTGGTCTCATGTTGTCCAATCGAGGCACCCACCAGGGCAGAAGCAGCAACTCTCCTCGTCTTGACACTTTTGTTTGGAGCAGCAAGGATTTTTGAATGCAGTGACAGTACCATTACATTGGTACATGTCTGGAGCTCCCCGCACTTTCGTGAAAATCTTCGCGTGCTCGCAGCAAATAGGCCTTAGAGATTCGCCGGGAGGCATAAGTGCAGCCACCGCGCACAAAATGATGACCAGTTTCGTCACTGTCATCTTGAACGAAATACGGTATTAAATAAAGAAATATAAAAGTCTAATCAAATAAGGGGATACAAGGCATTGAACCTTCAAGAGAGTCTGAAATAAAAACAACATATCTCTGCAGTTATCATTTATCAGAAGAGAAAAAAAAATTGCGTGACATTAACGATTGGTCTTTTTTTGTTGAAAAATAACTAATTTGACACTTAAATAGGGAATTTGTACTGGAAATTGTAATTACCATGTATGCAAATGTATATAAAATAAAAAGTGTGTAATTTGGCTAATTCCTCATGACTGTGATGTTGTTGATGAATAAAAAAAAAACCCGTTTAATTATAGACGAAAAAGCTTGACGAACTGAGCTCATCACTTATTTTTTGTCACTAAGAAAAATTAGAGAAAAACAGATTTAAAACTGAAAAAAATTGACGTTTTCCGATGTCATTTAGCGGATTTTACCATCTAAATTCACGAATTTCAATTGAATTCTGCCATAACTGTCAATAAATTCGTTCAGTCCACAAACGAAAGGCAACTTCTGATATAGCTCTTCAGCATTTTCCATTTCCAAAACAATATTATCGAATGTTACCCACTGCTGTACACACATACATGCGTAAAATGGGCCTGTTGCAAACTTTTGCTAGAGCAAAACTAAGAGTTGTTTCTTATAGATAATGCCTCTAAAATCACGATGAGCGCATCGGCAAACTCTGAAATGCACTCATAACTTCACAAACTGCGTAAGAAATTTGCGGTTTTTTGAGCTTCCCGCTTCAAAAACGATACTACGGCACAGGTGAACATTTTGTAAGAGGAGTCGTTCCATTGTCGGCAATAATCATCATAGCCGACGCCAATCCGCCAAAACACGTTTGATGGGACGAGATAACACCTGAACTGGATTAGACCAGATAACAATCGGTGTGTTAACGTTCATATTTTCCACGCCCGAATTGATTGACCTTGAACTCTCCTTGAATTACGCGCGGAACTGCGTGCAAGCGTCGGCCATGATGAATATCGCCGACGATGGAGCGACTCCTCTAACAAAATGTTCACCTATGCCGTAGTATCGTTTTTGAAGCGGGAAGCTTAAAAAAACGCAAATTTCTTACGCAGATTGTGAAGTTATGAGTGCATTTCAGACTTTGCCGATGCGCTCATCGTGATTTTTGAGGCATTATCTATAAGAAACAACTCTTATTTTTGCTCTAGCAAAAGTTTGCAACAGGCCCATTGTGCAAATTTGGTCAGAAAATGTAATATTTTATCTTTAAAAGAAAGAGGCGGCGTGATAAAAATGGTTTTTATTTGTTTTTCCGTAGAAGTTTGAGGGGTCAGAGGAAATTGTGCGTTATTCACAATCAAAGTTAATTGCAATGGAAAATTTGCACCCTCAAACCCGAGGAACGTCATATTTTCGTTTAACTCTTTTATGCGGAATACTCAGATTAAAATAACGCTTACCTTAAATAATTTTTCCGTGACCGGATAAGGCTGAAAATCACGTATGGTTGACCTATAACTTGTGAATTTATGGAACGAGCACTTGACCACACTTGACTGCACGTTGCTAGCGAAAGATTAAAATATGACTGGGACGGGATTCCAAGCGAATTCAACGACTTGGCGGCTATTTCACGCGCCCATTGATGCCGTCAAATTGTATATAAATTTGCTGATACACTTCGTTTGAATACAATACATTTGGGGAAACCCCAACAATGTGGCAACCCCTCTTATCTGCTTACTCATCGTTGCGCTCGTGGTTGATAATGCCAATTCAAACCAGGAAAATCAACGCCGCAAAACTATGCAGAATTTTGTACATTTGAATAAGTCATCTGTATTCATATTAATCCTTCTTTCAACGAACAAGTATGTTGTAAATTTTTGAAAAATAAAAGGAAGGCAGGATAGTTACATTTCTTTGCAATAACGTTTTAAGGTCTCGGTTGCGCTTTCTACTTAATTCTTCCGCTTAATTTCTTCGTAAGTTCTTCTTAATTCAATACTTTATGAGATAAAGGTGAAAAACGAACCAAGGTGGTTAAAATTTGATTGGACCGACCAAAATTCTGAAAAAACTTAATCGGGATGATGTGGAACACCGAACGTTCGGTTCATATCACCGAACTTTTTTTCAGTGTTATGAAGAAGCGAAGATTAAGGTTCTAACAGTTGAGAAAAAAAAATCCTAAATAATAGATTAAACAAGTATTGTATATTATAAAAAACCTAAAAAATAAAATGAAGTATCCGTTTAAATAAATAATACATCACTTAGAATCTAATACAGTACGTTGGAGTGTTTTTTCCTCAGAAAAAAAAGAAAAGATGATATATTGTATGAGCGGCATGGATTCAATAGTTAGTGTTCTGACTCGGGCTGAGGCAGCCACCTTCGCAATAACAGCAATATTTTTCCTCCTCACACCTTTTTTTCGAACAGCAAGGGTTCCTTTCCTCAGTGACCGTGCCGTCACATTCAAACTGATTGGGCGCCCCCAGCAGACGTGTGAATGGCTTTGCGTGGGCGCAACATATGACTTTCGAATAATCCTCGTTAGGGTTCGCCAGCACTGCACGTCCTGAATTATCCTCGTTAAAATCCGCCATTACTGCATGCTTCGTGGGTTTCAGGTTCTGCAGAGCCATTGTAACAAATATGTACATGAGTTTTCTCCACGTCATTGTAGTTTTCCGAGCAGAGTAGGAGCTTCGTTTTTTCGTCTTACTGCACAAAAAATAATATTTCACCTAGTTATTTTACAATGAGACATTTATGTCTTGGTTCCAAAATCAAATTGTTTAATCACAGTTCTTCAAAATTATTTCGCAGATTTTATATTTCATGAGGCAAAACAGCCAAAGTTAGGATTTATTTTTGTTTTAAATTTATTCATTATATTCATCCATTTACTGTAAGAGGCACGAAAAAAACTAACAGAAATTTTTTTTGGAGCGAGTAGATAATATTTCTTAAAAGAAACACGATACATTTGTGTAAGTTTGATAAAACTCTGTTCAAAGTTTGAAAATTATATTATTTCTTAATGATAAAACCACGTGGTTTTCAAGGTTTTAAATTACTTTGGTAAAATTGTAAGCTAACACGGAAAATACCCAAAATTCGGCTGAGCTAATCGAAGGCAAAAGTTGATTTTAAGTGGAACGTGCTGCTGTGTACTTACACACACATACATCTCAGACTGTCAAACTGGTTTGAGCAATCCTTCAAGTGCATTTGACGACCCTGCAAAATCTAGTGATGATGTGCAATTGTACAAGCTTTCGATTTACCATTTGGGATCTGCACTAGTTTGTTGAATTAGAATCGTTATCAAATTATCCAAAAAGAGGCTTTAAACTGGGTAACCGGCGACCCGAGCATGCCTCGTTAGCCAATGAGAGAGCTTGAACAGGCATCGGTTCTCCACTACTCTGAAATAGAGTCCCTTTATAAAGGGAGTTAAGACAACGCTGCTCATGAATGTCACAAACGGGAATAAAGATTACACAAATTGAACGTTTTTCATAATAACTGGAAAAACGCATCTCGCGCGCTGTTATGATAAACATGAAAAAGATGAAAAAATTAAACCTTATTCCACAATATGAGTGTTTCGGTATACTTTTTCATCTTTTTCATGTTTTTCATAATCTTTGATCAACTCATTTCCGAATTCCTAACTCCGTTCCTTCTCTCATTCTGTTTGTTCTCTTCCGTGCCCTTAATTCCCCGGTCCATTCCAGTTCATAATCTTTGCAATTTTTGTAATTGTACATAATCTTTATTCCTCACTGAGAAAAAACTATGGTTTATAAACCTATTAGAGGTAAATATGGAACACCTATAATAGTCGTAAATAAACTAATGATTCTCGGTCTGTGAACCATACTAAGGTCTCTGTACCTAATTAAGGTACCCCGTACCATAACTAAGGTATATGTGCTATTATTATATGTAGAGGTACTACTATTAGTGGTGTTCCATATTTACCTCTAATAGGTTTATAAGCCATAGTTTTTTCTCAGTGCTGTTTGTGACACTGTGGAGGCTTAAAATCAGCCTAAAATACGGGAACTAATCAGAAATGGATTCGTGCTGTCTTTACTCTCAGTATGAAGGGACTCCACTATGAAATTACCACTTCGATCGTGTGAGGACTTTAAGCATACAGTGTAGATCTAGACACCTACCTACATTGAGCGCATTGAAATCAAAATTCACACCTGACTTGGTAGTAGTTCACCTGACACAATTTGAACACTGATCGAGGCTAACGTCAGCTTCTTCCGTTGTTTATCAGCGTTTCGATAAGCTCCTGGAAATTTCATACGGGCGCTGCGCACAGTCTACCAGCGATCGTAAAAATCCGATTTCTACTCGCGAAGAATCCGCCTGAACCTTCCTCCAACTCATCTAGGTTCCAGACGGAGACTGTATTTTCAATTTTGCCTCAAACATCTGACAGCTAAAAGAACCTCTAAAGTTTGTATTACGTCGAAAAGAGTTAAAATGTCTAGAAAATAAGTGAATCTTACTTACTTTGAGGTATATCGCAGGATTTTCTCAGGATTCATACACGTTAATCGCTTTTAATCCTCTGACTGAAAGAAAGAAATCGATCAAATGAAATTGATTAGTGTGAATCTTGAAGTCCTTTGCAAGTAGTGAAAATAATACGGCAATTAACAACAATTTAACTTGAAATTATTTAATCGTTCAAAAAAATTGGGCTCAAATTTTTACCTCAAAAGGTCACATTCTAGCCATGGCATTAGGCTGCAAAAATTGGCAAGCAAAATTGTACTAATACTTCTAATCAAATCTAGCTTTTCTAGTCGTTTTTAAACTTTTAAGGCAAATCATTCAAAAGCAAATTAGAGATAATATGCTCAGATAAGTATCTGTAAAATTTCAGTAAAATTGGAAGACATCGGATGAATTAAGAGATAAAATAAATTCTTCAGAATAAAATTGCATAAGCACCCTTCATAACTCTCAAGGTATGGAGCAAGAAAAGTTATTGTCATCGTCAAGAAAAACCAAAAAGCCCCACATATAAACGCTTAAATGCAAATTTTTCAGAGAAAATGTCCATATGAGTCTCTTACAATCCGAATGAGACATGAGGAATGTGGCTACAGATATGAATCCATAGAGATTCTGGAATCAGGTAATTTAAGTAAACTATTTGAAGGTGTTGTATTGCCGTGCCGCGGAAAAACGCCGTATAAACCTTATTTTCTTTGATAAAACAATAATTTCTTGGTCATTTTATAAATATTTTTCTTCCAATTTATTACATAATTTTGTTTCCAATTTCACCTAAGTTCCTTCCAACCTTCCAAGTTCCTGAAAAATTTAAAGAAAAAGGGTTCATAACTTTTTTCAAAAATAACTCTTTTCTAAGAGGAAATTTGGCAAATCTCGAATCTTCATACGGCGTTTTTCCTTAGCACGGTAGTGTAGCTTACTTCTGTATTTAGACATCCTCCTTTACACCCACAACATTTTTTCTGGTTCGAGCATTTCCTTACTGAACAGCACGGATTTTTGTCGGTTGTCATGGTACCATTACAGTCGTACGCTTCGGGACCTTCCATTATGTACACGATTCGTGTCGCTTTCGGGCAGCAAGATGACTTACAGTACGGAATCACCGGACATACACTAAGGACCAGGACCCCAAACATAATCATCCATTTCGTGGAAGTCATTGGATTTTCCCTTATAAAAAGAAATGGAACGAGAAATCAGTCGAACATAAATATTCTAATCTTTGATCCTCAGAAATCGTCGCTCCTCTGGCGTAAGGGCGTATTTTATTTCCACTTGAGCCCCGAAAAGCATAGATTTGTATGGAGAGCAGATCTCACGTGGAAATATATCGTATTCGATACATCAAACGGGTGAGATTGCATATCGATCTAGATTGGTTCAAAACAGAGGCGGATCCAGCAATTTGGCAACACCTGACTCCCTCCATTTACACCTATGTTAAAAGATCGATTCTTGTCGGAGCACATGGCCTCTCCGAGAATTGATATATTTCCATAGGTTTAAATGGAGAAAAACAATGTCGCCAATATGCTGGGTCCGCCAATGATTCAAAACATTATAGCCTCAAAAGTCGAGCGAATAATCTGACGGAACGAGTTTTTTATGATAGATTTTTTATTCGTATTCAATTCGTGTGAGTACCCCTTGGCCATGGGTAATGAAATTGCGATTAAATTTCTCATTTTCAGCTTTTCTGACCAAGATCCTTTAATTTTGGTTTGAGGTTACGTCCAATTGATGTGATTACCAAACGATACATCGAACCACTATCGAATACGATCCATTGAGATACGTCCTTTCGTCAGAGGAGCGACGAATTGTCAACAATGGAAAAGAAAGGAAGCACATGTAATGTATTGCAGTCGTGAAGAAGATAACTCCCCTGTATCAAAGACTTATCATGGCCATAACGAAAAAATGGAAGTTCCAGGAGAACAGAGCAAAATTGCATGACCAATTCCGATTCGGTCTTATCATACGTCTATGTAGGCGTTCAGAGGATAGTTGCACAAATCTAGGAATCATCGGCACGTACGTTGATACGTTTTTCTCCTGATTTTGCAGTTTTGTCAGGATTCTAGTTGGTCAAACCACAACGAGAAAGTAACTCGTGGTGTTTGTGGGGCGTTACCTCAATTTAAGGGGAAATCAGTAAACAGCAAACGTCAGTTAAGCTGAGGAAAAGAACACAGTGAATTTTTCCATCTTTCCTGCTGATAATATAGATCTCTATATTTCTTTTATCATGTTTCTTTTAAACCGTGACAATCTTTATTGAGACAAATGTAGTTTGATATACGACAACATGCTATTGTAGGTAAAGTTCTTTGTCATGGGTAAATTGGACTGCATTTTGCAATTTGGAACTATAAATTCTGGCTCTTCTGGAAAATCACTTATGTGCATAGGGAAACTAGTGGCACATACTTTGTTTTTAAACCGGGCTGGAATTTATAGTTCCAAACTGCAGAATGTAGTCCAATTTGAAGTTTATTCATCCCTCTATTGTATCCGAAATGCACCCACAGTAAGAAACTTCTATTCACAACAGCTTTTTATGGTATGCCTAACTAAATTTTTTTATCAATTTGATCACACGCGAAAAGCGATGAGAAACGATTTAGAAGATATAATGTTTTTAAATAACAATAGGAGGGTTGTTGCGACGGTTAGGGATGGGTACATCTAATACATTTAGTGCATTTTTCCCCCGAGCAAAGTATTTTTGAGGAAGTGTAACATTTTTCTTGTCAAGGTTTTGATTTAGAAGTTCAGAGGTGCTCATCTTAGTTTGTCAGTTTATTTCTTCGTGTGCTTGAACACGTTTTCTCCGAATGTACCTACCTACACTCTGGCTGAGTTGGCGGCTGTTAGCCTAAAGAGATGAACATCATATTGGAGTAAGACGACAATGCTTCATATTGAAGAACAATGATGTAAACATCATTCAATATTTCTCTACCTCTCAGAATATGACATTTTTCTGCGGGCCACAGAAAAATGTACGTGTCCAAGTACCTCTCGTTCAAAGGAAACAAGGGATGAAGAGAGGTTTGTCAAATCATGTCTTTCGCAGAGATTCTCGGTGCAAACAATATTGAGTTACTATTTTCAGAGGGTTCTTTCCCAGGAAACCTGTGGAGGTAACAGGATTGAATTTTCTACTCACTCTGAAACCCCCCTTTCATCGATATTATGAATGACCTCGTTTGCCGGGTGGAACGTAGCATACAGATGTTTTCTCCGAAAAACTACCCCTTCAGTTCGGTTAAGCAGTATGTGCGCAAATTGTTCCACAATGGCACTAATGGGAATGCCGTTACTCACGTATCAGAAGTCCAGGATGCCAGGATTAACAACTCGTAACTGATGATACTCATATTCATTCTTGAGAATGTCTCCACCTTTTCTCCCTGTTGGAGAGTCCTTTTTTCCAATAATTCTTAACTTATGATGTTCCTGTATAAAATGACATTTGTTTATTTTATCCTCTTGATGGTACAGAATTTTTTCCCAATCTAAATTACCGAGAACAGCAAATTTACCTGAAGACCCTGAAATTATCTGTATCACATTCTTCCAGTATCTCCACCACCTGAAGGGGTGCTACAATTCTTCGCGTTTTTACTACTTTTTTAAATGTCTGATGTTGTGTATTTGAAATGTATTCGCTTTTATAGAAATTCATGTTCACAAATAAAGTCTTTAAGTTTTATAAGAGGATACGTGAAATTATGGGTGTCGAAAACAGCATAGTGCATGGCATTTCCCACAAACAGCTTGTCTGGTATGGTCTTGTGCAACGGATGCTAGATGATAGGTTGCCTAAGAAGGTTCTGGATTTGGTCCTCCCTGGCAGAAAGCGCAGAGGACGCCCTGCCAAATTGTGGATTGAGGGAATAAGGCAGGAAATGAGGAGATGCGATCTGACGGAGGAGCTCTGGCAGGATCGCTATCAGTGGCGGTTGGGTGTCGCAGAGCGCACAGAAGCGCAATAAGAGCGACTTGTTAGTTAGTTAAGTTTTTTAAGCCGGTATTGTCCAATGTAAAGACATTTTAGAATCATTACTTAATTTGATTTACTGCTAATTTCTTGTCGAGTTGAAGTAAAAATTGAGGGTGCAAAAGCTTTTCTCTATCTTTACCTGATTAGAAAAATCCATGGATCTCTAAAAATGCTGAAAATCCCAGCTCTAGTGATAAATCCCTAGACTTTGCCTTAAGCGTAGGCGAGGGAGGGAGTAAAAAAAGCTTACCTCGATTTTCGATCAATCCGAATCGGAACGGAGAATCCGTCTCAGCCTCGCCTAACTCACCTCGGCGACCTGACTCTTGACGCGCTTGTTTATCGCACGAACGTCGAACGGAGCACTTGATCGCACTCCAGCGGGAACACCGATTCGCGTTTCGATTCGCGACTGGCCGTCTTTCGGCACGCGCCAAAATACCGCACCGATCATCGAGGTTGCCTGCTCGGCTTTGGAATGTCACTACTCCATTCCGCCGTGCTTAGGTGGAACGTTGTATGAACATTCGAGAGTTGCCAAATGAATCAGTGGGAACGAAAACACACCAATTCGAAAAAATGAAAACGGCTTTGGAATGTCACTCCTCCATTCCGCCGTACTTATTAAGTAGAAAGTCGTATGAACATTCGAGAGTTGCCAAATGAATCAGTGAGAACGAAAACACGCCAGCTCGAAAAAATGAAAATAATCGAGACACACACAAAACTGCATAGTAGGTGAAGAAGTTAGTCTAAGAAAAATATTTTTGGTGCCTAAAAGCAAATACTTAAGGACACTTTTAATGTCCAAGTTGAAACAGATACGGTAACGTCAATTACCTTTATGAAAATTGTCTGTCCTCAGTGAAAAGTGAGCATTTTCGAGTTACCGAGTTGGTGTGTTTTCGTTCTCACTGATTCAGGATAAAATGCTTAATCTTGAGGAAAGCTATGAATATTTTTCCCCGAGATTTTCAGAAACTTTACGCGAAATTGCGAACAAAATTATATGAAAAATTGGAAGAAAAACACTTAAAAATTTCCCGGAAAATTCATGAATTACCGAAGGAGATTTGGCAACGCTTAAAGGTTCATACGGCGTTCTTCCATTGTTCCGTTCTTCCATCAAAAAGTCCAACGGATGATCATTGATAAAAAGTGCGAAGGATTTCCCTAATTTAATTTTCATTTTTAAAAGTAACTTTTTCATTTTGAAAAATAACATTTCATTTTTTTTTAAAGAAAAAACTCTGTTTTTGCTCATAATGCGACCTCTTCGAACCACAGTAGTATGGGTCCCAGTAAATAACTGAACTTGAGTTCATGGGAAGGAAGGCTCTATTGGAGAAATACATGATTTTATTTTCAATTTCGCAACGGAGACGGAGTGGGGAAACCCAGTAAAGAGAAATAAACATGATAATACTGCCAAGCGAATTAATTAATTGTGCTATTGAACTGTGTTGTTGTTGTTGTTTTATACACAAGCCGGCGGCCGCGAAGGCGTGCTAATCGGCCACTCCTATGACGCAATGTCGTATCTCCATTTATACGTGAGCTCCCGTAAGTATGAAGTTACGTGGGCAATAGGGCTCAACCTATAAATTAGATAACCCCTCTCGTTAGCAGACCATCAATATGGTCAAACCCACATTCAGAGCAGATACCGCACTTTTTTCCTCCTTGATATGTGTTTTGTATTGTATCGTACTTATTGTTGGTAAATCCCAGTCTAATCGTATTAGTATAGTTTTCGTTTTCCTTGTTCCTGATAGGGAAACACATTAAAACCTCTCTCTCGTAAAAAATTGAAGTTGTCGACATAAAACTTCAGCACCCGGCTAAGATTATTAAAGTATAACTTTTGTCAGTGCGTGAGATATTGTCATGAGGGTGTCAGAACACTCAACAATGTTATGAGCCTCTAATAAAATTTGATGAAGATTTGTTGCATGACACGCTTGATAGAATACTTTACAAGGGCAGAATTGAAGCTCCACAGGAAGGCCTTCTTACTAACATTTCGTGCAAAACTAGGGTTTACAAATCTTTAAGATATTCAAAGCGTTCAGCGTTAATGTTTCATTAATTATTCTGTAAATAAAATATAAAATAAAATAAATTTAATATACACCTATTTAAAGAGCCATAACCTTGCAAATAATCTTTCATTAACTAACAAAAACTTACATTACAGCTAACGTAAGTTTTTATCAATTAATCAAATACTATTTGCAAGGTTATGGCTCTTTAAATATATTTATTTTATTTTCTTCATACTTCACCTTGCTCATTGCAAACGTGTTTGAATTACTTTTCTGTAAACTGATTTCTCTCTTCATTCCATTTTTCAAAAGACACATTGTGTGAAACCAGTCTTAGCTTTGCATTTCGCAAAGTACCTGTGTTTTGGCTGACTTGTATGGAAGTATAAAATTCCTTCAGACCTCTACCGATGCTTCCAGAAATGAAGGGCGCAACAAGGAAGTCAGCTTTTCTATTAAGTAATCTATTTTTATCACCGGTTATTTCATGTCAGTATAATTTTTAAGATTATTCGCAGACGCTTGAAAAAATTATCTGAAGCGCAGGTCTGATATTATTAATCATTATTCGCATTATTTTTCTAAGTTTTCATGCGATAACTTTCCAAAAGGGTGGCTGCCCTTTTAGACCCTTAGACCATCATCAAATGATATGCCCATACTAACCCGATAAAGACACTCTGCTTAGAGCAGAAAACATTGATATTTTTCGTCAAAGTTTTGGAAACAAACGAGATTATTTAACGGAATGATTCAAAAAGAACATGCGGCGCTATTAATTCTGAGTCCTTACTTTGAACATCGAAGCACTACCGTGTTGAGGAGAACGCTGTAAGAACATTCAGATTTTGCCGAACTTCTATTATTAAATGTAACATTTTATTGAGCATTTAAGCAGGCTCTCTTTATTCTTGAATATATTTTTCACATTTTATTCACAATTGAGGCGTTGGGTGCAGGAAAGGCACTTCTCGGTTGCTGTGTTTCAGAATTTCCCCTGCTAGTCTATATTTTAATGAGGAAACTATCAAATGAATATTCTGAAATTTTATGTCTGCAGCTTTATAAAATCAGGAGGAATATTCCCTAAAAGTTTCACTGAATTACATAAATTTGCTTCGATCATGATGGATGAAACATCATCAGAGATTCTTCAGCACCGCTAATGAAAATTGCCCGCTCTGCACACGGCGCTTCAATTTAATTTTAGGTCAACGAAAGTTTTAAGATAAAAACTCATATTTTCTCCAGAAAATTAACATTTTTTCAGCGGAAATCTGGCAAAGTCTGAATGTCCACATTATGTTTTTCCTTCGCACGGCAGATTCCCCTCTAAACAGTGGCGTGGCGTGCTTTGCGATTTATCGATTAATCCGCCATTTAAATCTATAAAAAAGGATCGATTATCAAGGTGTTCGCAACGAACACATTGACAATGGATTCTTTACTGCAGCTTCAAATGGAGAAATATCGATAATCGATCCTTCACGCCACGCCGCTGCCTCTAAAGATTTATTCCAAACCCACGTGGTGTATTGAACACCCACCCACCTATCCGTGTTGTGCAATCGGGCTGGCCAAAAATTCGCCGAAGAATCCCTCCATAAGGTGACCTTTTCCTCCATAAGTTTGGCAAGGGTGTTACTCGAGGCTTCGTAATTTACAGGCGCCCGATTTCAGCTCGCGTTCCGCGGCGGATGCTCCATGTGCAGGCTGTAGTTAATCACAACGCGTTCCCACCATCCATCGATGACAACTGCATCGATTCGTTCAGCAACGTGTTCGCGTTGATTAAGCGGATTTAGAGTACCTATATCGAGAGAGTATGGCCACTGGTGTTACCACCTCTGATTGGCTCAGCCATCTTAGGCTGAATGGAGCCCTTAGGACCCAATAATGGCGGACTCCATAAATTAATGTAATGCAAAATGGCTCAAAATGTAGTTTTCTTTGCTTATCGTAACCAGAAATTTACTCAAATGCACTATTGCGACTTCTTTACATATTTTTAAGGCTAATGGTGTGCAATTTTTGAGAAAAAGTATCTTAGATGTAGTCAAGTTGGCAGCAAGTGCGGTGGGTGATAACCGTCAAAAGTTGGCAATGACCCCCGTCCCATCCACAAAAACCAAAACAAAACACCGCCATTTTTGGGTCCTAAGCCTTTCCATGGGGCCCAGTGGCCATACTCTCTCAATATAGGTACTCTAATTTTATTTAGAGGCTCGGTACTACTTTTACGCCCGAACCTCCGAGCTAGAGTCCCTTTATACTGAAAGTCAAGACAACACCCCCTCATGGAGTCACAAACGGGAATGAAGATTACACAAATTGAACGTTTTTCGTAATCTTTGATCGGCCCATTCTCAAATTCCTTTCTTTGTTCCTTCTCTCATTCCGTTTGTTCCTTGTCGAACCCGTAATTCCTCGGTCCATTTCAGATTATAATTTTTGCAATTGGTGAAAATGTAATCTTTATTCCCGTTTGTGACACCGTGGAGCACTAAAATACGGTAACCAATCAGAAATGGATTCACATTGTCTTGACTCTCATCGTCAGTATAAAGGGGCTCTACTCCGAGCTGTCATTTTATTTGAATTCGGAACTTCTGATTCGGTGACTAACGAATCGCAACGTTGGCGCGTGATTTTGGTACCATCTCGCGAGGTGGTTCTGAAAAAGGTTCGACCTATCGAAAACCAACGGATCTGATTGGCCGAATCTGGTAACAACGGTGTCCACTGGTGTTTGTGATTGATGAAACAAACCAGGGCAGAACTTCTCCTAGGTTCGGAACTTTAAATAAAATTCGCTTATTATCGACAAGATCAGATGAAACATCGAAATGGCGTTCCGTGTAATAATACGTTAAAGTGTTCCTTCATTCCTCCAGCGGACTCCAAGGATTTTGAAAGTTTTCTCTGCGGAATTAGGAAAATGTATTCATTACCTCAGGATAGAATTTTGCCAGTGTCAAAGATACGTCAAGACTGTGGAAAACGGTGTGAAATTTGAGAGTTATGTTATTTTGCTGTGTGGAAAATCTTTGGAGGTTCTCTTCTCATTATGTGGAACATTGCTTCACAATAAAAACTAGGAGGGCTAGAAAGTAATAAACTTTATGTAGACGCCTAATCTAAATACTTTTGAAATGGGAACTCCAAGTTTTATTTACTCTCAATACAAATCCTCTTTAAACAAAGCAATATTACAATGTAGTTGTTCTTACGTGTATATTTTTATCTACAAGGAACTCGTGTTTTCTCAATCGACAAATTGACGATACAACAGAGCCAAATAAATATAACGTTGCGACAATTTTCGTCAACAAAGTTTTATGAAAATTGATATTATTTTCGCCAGATTTTTGTCTTGCAAAAATTCTGCAGCTT